ACCATTAAAGTCAGCATGCACGATTCAATCCAATATGACAACAAAATACCACCAATAGACATTGCTGATACTTCCTTTTCACTATTTAGACTATAATTATTTTTTAGATTATAAATTTTCGTTTATTTTTGACAATATTATTTTAAGATAAATATTAACTAAGTTTTACTGTATTAACGTCTATGGTAACTTTTTAATCAATTTTTATGTGAATTGTTTTTCTGATAGTCACTTGTATTACTTTTTGTCTATAATTGATAACATCTTATTTTAATGTTGATTAAAAAAACTTTCAATCAATCTTGATTAATTTTTTTTATTTGGACTAATATCATTTAGAAAAATGTTTCAATTAATATCAATTGAAAAGTGAATAAAGAACTTAGCAACAACTTAAAAAAATCCTATTTAGTATAAGTTCAAACAATTATAACTAATATTAGTGGAATAAAATTTAAATTGATATTAGTGGAATTGAAAATATATGGAGAGACTATGATTTAAAAATAGTCCTGACCAAACAACATATTTTATTGATATTTTTTAATTATTAAATATTAGTTAATATTATAAAAGTTTATCTATCGGAACATCTCATTAATTATATTATCACTCTCGAGATGTTTATACCTCGACGTGAAGACGATTTATAATAAATAAGTGAGGTGCAAACCTCACCTTACAAGCCGGTTTGTGAGGTTGAGTTAGATTTAAATCGACTTTCTAATATGTTATCAGAGTCATGGTTGGAGCCTATCCTAGTGATATTTCTTGTTTTTTGGGAATTTCTATTCCATCCGCTATCGGGCTGTTATCGAACTACCCAATTTTTACTATTACGCACGAGATGTCTATACCTCGGCGTGAAGGGGGTGTGTTAGAAGTCTCACATCGACTAGAGATAAGGCCAAATTATAATATATAAGTGAGATCCAAACCTCACCTTACAACCAATTTTGTGGGGTTGAGTTAGGCTTAAAGCTCACCCTCTAACATTATATTTAGTTTTAATTTTTTTTTAAATTATGAAATATCATGCTAAAATACTATGACCTTTTTTTTTTCTAATGTGTTCAATGATATGAAAGTCAGTTTCACTTCTTTTTGTTTCACACAATTTGAAGAGAGAATGGAGTATGGATTTACCGAAGATATCGAGAAAACTGTTATTAGAATTAGAAGAAAAAGAGAGGAAGTCACCTCGAATCATACAAAATTATTAATTTCTCCTTCTATTTTCACAATGTACAAAAAAAAAATGAAATTCTTGACCAAACTTTTGAACTCAAATAACCGATTCTCTTTTTTCTATTTTTTTAAGAGAATCAATTCTTTCCTTTTACTTGTTAAGCATAATCAATTCTTATATTTACATATCACTTCTTGCGTTTGAACATGTGTAAGACCCATGAAAAATATTTACCTTAATAGTAATAATTTTATTCCTAGTAGTAATAAATTTCTTTGTGAATGACAAATATAATTAATAAGTTTATGTAAAAATAAAATGTGGAAAGCTAAATAAGAAATTTTGGTAGCTTAAATGGTAGAAAATTGTGGTGATTTCAAGAATATGGGCTCAAACTCTTTTCTACCTTTTTGTTTTAAAAAAAAATACCAAAAAAAAATTTAAAATAGTGATAGTGGATAAGCATTCCACGTTTGAAGTCATTATTGAGGGATCAAATATGTCAAGTGGTGATTAAAATATTAATATAATAAAATAATATTAAAATAATAAATAATATTAAAAAATTGTTAAATAGTAAAATTTTTGGACTATAAATAGCCATGAGAGGGGAGGTTATCCTGCACAAAGAAAGGAAGAATCAAGTGAGAAATCTTGATAAATAGAGAAGAAAGAGTTAGGAAGGAATTTTTAGTTACAAGAAGAGTAGAGGTTCTAGAGGGTTTTCGGGGAAACAAATTCTGAGCAAGAGATTAAGTCTGTAATAGAGGTAGGGGAGCTAAACTTTCTAAGCCTTTATATTATGATTTAGTATTGTTTTATTACTATTCATGTGTTGAAATTCTGTGTGAATATTGTTAATGAAAAACATAGGTGTTTGTTGTATTGAATTTCTGTGTTAATATTATATGTTGTTATTTTGAATCTGTAAATAAGAAATTTGTTAAAAACTAGTTGATGAACACTTTGGCTAAGGAAAAACTTGGTACTTAAGTTGTCCATGGTGACACACCTCTCTTTCCTAGAAGTCTACTCGATAGGTTTTTAACTTAAATCCTATTGAACAGATTAAGTACTGTTAAACTATTATGCAATATACTCAATTGATATAAAATATGTGATGGATTCATCTTTCTGGAAGGATAAGAAGATGTCTAACCGGCTATGCCAGATTCAACTTCTTAGTTCCCCAGAACGTTTATATTAAGGTTATAATTGTGATGGTAGGATAGAGGAATCTTACAAAATCGAAGTTGGTACATCCCTGATCATAGAGCAGCCTTGGTCAAATCCAGTAAGTTGTGACTAGTCATATGTACTGGCGTTTATGGTGAGTTTGATTCGTCAAACATTTGATTCTTCTCCGATGACCATTTATGGTGATATTTTAGTATTGTTAATTTATTTTGTGATATATTCATTTTGTATGATTTCTGTGATGATTGTATTTTATTATATTGGATTTGAATTTATGCATCTGAACATGATATGTAGTTATGCTCCAGGAAATGAGGAACATGAACAGAGAACAAGAAAAGTAGGTATGATGGAAGCGGGGTTATCAAGGCATTCATTATTGGTTTAAAATATGTTACGTCAACCCTCAACTTGCTGCACATATAAAACACTCAATTATTGCAACGTTCATATCCGGGCTTAAAGCATAAGTATTATTCTGGAACAATATTATCTTTAAAAAAAATACTGTAATGGATTAAAAATATTGTATATAAATTCTCTTTCATTTCAACTTTTTCTAAAAGATGAGGCTTTTGAGTATAAAAAACAAATTTTATAAGAAATCATCTGTTAGAGATCTGACCTTAACCAGAGATAAGACGAGTTCAGATGTTGATTTTATATGTTAGTTTTATAAAATTAAGTTAAATTTAAAATTTAGTTGTTAACCCTAACTCTAATAATAAAAAAGAAAATGAAAATACATAAAACATGTTAGTATTATGTGCACTGTAATATTTTTTTTCTTTTCTATTGCAACGTTTTAAAGTATTTTCAACAAAAAGATAATTATTACATGCTCACAAATTATTTTGAAGTTGTTTCAAGGTACTCTTTGGAAGAAATAACATGTTTATATAAGGAAATTCATTATAAAATGAGAAATTATAAAAAAAAATCATTATTTTAAGATTTTGAATTAAAAATAATATTGATCTGTTATATGAATTGAATTCAAATTTTATTAATTTTGTATTTCTTTAACAAATTCTTTCCCTGGCAGATTTATAGATTCATAAGTTGCTTAAAAAAATTAGTTACTTGTTAAAGCAATTGTTTCTTATAAATAAAATATACTATTTTATTTCCTTTTCAGTTCCGACGAAGAAGACCAGGAACAATTGAAACAAAACATAAAAGTGTCAAACGAATCAAAAGATGGTGAACAAAATTACGTTAAAATTAAATCTAGAAAAATCATAAACATACAAAAACCACGTCACAAACGGATAAAAAAAATAAATAAAAAAATAAAATGAGAAAAGCACAAAATAACAAAATCACGTGTCTAGGATTTGCTGCGTCGTCTTTGTTTTCTCTTTTCTCACTCGTCATCGATAATATCGACATGTTATTGTTGATGTGCATTGGTGGTTCTCGTCGTTGACCTTTTCCTCATGGTCATTTTAACCTAGTTTGCGAGTAAAGTAATTTCTCAGGCTGCTTAGTTGATTTAACTTTATTTAATTTTACATTAAAAAATAGAGAAGAAGAAGCAACTTATGAGAATGAAATAGATATTTATAGAACTTAGTACAACTAAGAATCTGGACTTAAAAAATCCCTTCGCCTCCATTGATTTCCTCAACCCCACAATGTTTTCTTCCATCAAACATTTGTCGGTGCTCAAAAGATGTCTGGAACTGAAGTGTTTTTTATTATAAAATACCTAACAACAACGACATTTCAATATGTCGCTCTTGTTTCAAACGATCCCTCCTGAAACAATGATTTCTTGTTAGTATAATTGTAATATTTCCTTATCTTTCATCAATATCAAAATCGGTTCAACATCTCTTATGTATTTCACTCAATCTAAATAATATAATTACAGAATTATCTTTCACTCTCAGAGAATTATCAAATGATAATTGTGAAAATATCTTTTTCTAATATATTATTAGAAAACAACTTACGTTATTTTTCTGAACATATTTTTGCATCACAAAGATAATCTCAACTATTATGTATCCTCTTATCAATAAATAAAAAATTCAGATCAGCATAACTCTATAAAAATATCTATGCATTTGTTTTTAATTTTATTCATTATATTTGTCACATTTATCTTAGCTCATCTTTGTCACTGTAAGATTAATAATAAAAAATGAGATGTACACTTCTTCAATTTTTCTACACCTTTAATATACCTAATAAAAAATAATATTTTTACTATTCTACTTAATTGATTTCAAATTATTTTATATTTTGAAATAAAAATACAATTTTATTGAATTTGGATAAATACAGAATAGAAAATGTGATGATCATATATCATCATCCTAAAAGAAATGTCACCTTTTTATTTATGTATTTATTATTATTGCTATTAGTTATAATAAAAATAGTTTACAATTTTTTTCTCACTTATTTGCAAAGTTTCCTCATTAATTACTGTTTGAATGAATCACACAACTTTTACTCACTTGATCTCCATCACAAATTGTTCCATTTATTCGGTTATGAACTACATCTTATATATTGTGAGTTTGGTTGTAGAATGATAAACTCGTTATTCATTAGTTTTGCAAATTATATATTACATCCTTGATTTAGAATTGCATTACACAGAAACAAGAAGAACTATGCTGCATTCATGACAGCCATTTTATTCAGTAGTACATGATAACGAGAGCTTATTCAGTGGCACTAAGTTGTGAAGTGGAGTCATCAGTGAGATCCAATTCCATTTTAATTTCATAGTGAACAAGGTGCTTGATATCCATTGGATAAGTGAAGTCTGAAGTAGAGGTAGAATTATAATTTGTTAATGCATTGAGTAGGTTCCATTTTTCAGTGGTGTGGAATGCATCCCAAAACACATAATCATTCCGATTATAGCACGGCTTTCCATCAGGAATGCACTCCCCTGTTAACCCTGGTTCGCAGCAAGGAGATTCTGGAAACTCAAAACCTGTGACACATGGAATATGTATATGCTTATCTCATAGTTAAAGACAAAAAATTTCTTTGAATAACAAAACCAAACCAAGTACCATTTTTATCACGAAGGTAAATGGCCAATGCTTGAGTATCCAGAAAGATGAACTTGGAATCGGCAGAGAATCCGTAATTGAATTTATCCACGAGAGCTTTAAGCTTGTTATTAAACTGGTATGCAGCAGTGTTCTGCTCTTCAACACAAGATTCATTTGTCCCATAAGAAGCCACGATACCAAGAGTGCATCCTATAAGGCCCAACCCTGCCGACGCATACTTTCTCGCTCCAAGTTCATGTAAAGCCTGACCATAATAGGATCTACATTTATTCATGTTCTAATCATTTCTGAAACACACAACTTCAATTAATGGATACCTGAAAATGCTGAGATAACTCTTCGATCAGAACTTCTGTATACTGCTCAACAGTATACATGCTGCTTGTTGGGTAGAACTGGGGAAGGAAGTAATTCGCCATGTAATCATTGCTACCTATGTTCACATAATACAAGCATTTTTCAAGGTATTCTTGAGCCAAGTCAGGACTTCCGAGTCTGGTAGCAATTTCAGAAACTATGACACTGTGATTTGCTAGCTGTGATCGCAAGCTGATAGAACCACCCTGTATTTGAACTAGTTTAGTAGCATGCATGAAAATTGTAACACAAGAACTCACCAAGAGAAATTGAAGATCGTGAGAAACATGAAAATTATACCGTATGCGAGCCGGTTTCGCTGCGTATTCCAGCTCCACCCGATGCATAGTTCACACCTTTGAGTATGTCTGATCCGCTAGTGTTTGCAAAGGGTGGTATGAAATTCTCAAATTCCAGAAACTGACCTACATATGTGGACTCTGATAGTGTGAGCTTCGACAAAGTGCACAGGGTAAGAAAAAAGACTCATTGCTTTAAAAATAAACATGGTTTTAATTCTTTCTGCACCGTTAAGAAATCGCTGAGTGAATACAATGTAGTGCATACTAATTAAATAGCGAGATTTGATATTAAAGCCTTTAAATGCAAAACAGAATGGTAAATAGTTTAAGGGGGAAATGAGAGAGAGATTAGAGGTGTTGATAAGTATAGAGAAATGTTACTGATTATGTCAATTTCTGTTCGGCCATTGGTAAATCTTCCAGTTGGTCCTAATGGAAAGTCCACCCCATAAGGTTTGTAATTAGATTTTGTAGTGGTTGGAAGTTGGTTGTTGTTTCCACTGTCAGACATGGAGTCCCCGAAGATAAAAAGACAAGGCACTTGGGACACCCCAAGGGCACAGTGTTGCATGCAGTTTGCAGCCAAGAAAAGAAAAAACACAACCAACCATGTGTTGGTTTCACAAGCCATATCTAAGCAGAGGAATTGCTCAAGCAATAGAGGTTAGGCTGTGCCCCAGGAAACCAGGACAATACTAAAGAAGTTGTAGTTGGCTGGTGTGGTTATCAAGACTTGTTGCTCTATATATTGTGAATCAAAATAAACATGTGAATGATTGGATAGGCAAGTTTCATACTGCATATAAAAACAAAAGCTCTGTGGCAATGAATTGAGTATTCAAAGTAACTGTTTATTGAGTTACGGCCCCTGCGCGCCATTATTGCAACAGTAGCAGAAATACACAAAAATAAAATAAAATTGACAGTTTATTTAATGTCGCTTGTTTGATATAAAACATGTGGCTAAGATAGTTCCAGTACGATTAGATATAGCATTGACAAATATGGTTGCATTGTAAATTGTAGATACGCATACAATATACGTTGTGCAAATCATCCATCCGCAAGATTTTCGCTATACAATGGACCCTTGAACTTGTCAATGAAATCTGATACTGGTCACCATGGCTATCAGAAGATGAAATTCGAAAACATGTTCTCCTTCATGAGCACCTTATATCTACTACATCGACTTGGCAACTCCCTTGTCATCTGAATTATTATGATTTAACATGCAAAAAAAAAAAAAAAAAAGAGGTGCCCTGAGGATTAAATAACTAACCATCTAAAGTCCAAATTCAGAAGTTGATGTCCCCTCAATTATTTTCTGTCGGAACAATCATACTAATAGTTCTCAATCCTAGTTAAAGTGATGAATTGGACCACCAAAGAAATATTAAAAGAAAATTAAAGATGGTGATGATCGGGACCACCCAAGAAGTACTAAATATAAAATTAGTTGATGACCTTGCTAGAAAAAAAAAATAATAGATAAAAGTTCAAGCTTGATTTGTCTCTACCTAGATATTAGTATAATAGATAAAGTAATTATAAAATAGTGTAAAATGAATGTGAAAATTTTGTGTATATCAAATTATCAATTTTGATTCAATTAAGTGTGAGTTTGTTTTTTGAGGTAAGTAATATTGAGAGAGATAGTGGAAAATGATAGAAATTAATGAGGGGAAAGAGAATGGAAAGTAATGTTATATGTATTAAGTGAAAAGTAAAGATAAATGAAAGAAAATTTATAAATTGCGTAAAGGATTTGCGGAAAAAAAATATTTTAATTGATAAAATTGGAAAATTATAATTTTATATTTTTTGGTTAAAATTGATTTAAAATAAAATTTAAATAGTTTAAATTAATTTAAAATAAAATATGATTTATTAATTACAATAAAAATAAGTGATGAAATTAATTTAAAATAAAATGTGATTGGTTGCATTTAAGTTAAAATAAGATGTGAGTGATTAGTTTAGCTGAAAAATATCTCAATTAATGAAATTATTTTGAATTAGAATATGATTGATTAAAATTAATGGAAATTAAAATGTGACTTGTTTTTAATATTTTTTTAATTGATGAAAATAATCTACATGAAAATGTTGAAAAAGGAATTTTATAAAAAAAAATAAAATATGAATTGAAATAATTATAAAGTGTAATTGGTTAAAATTATCATGCAATTAAAATGTGTCATTACTTAAAAAATTGCTTTAATCCATCGATTTGATTTAAAATAAAATGTTAAACCTGAAGTTTGATAAAATAAATAAGTTTTTTTTTCAAAATGAAACCAAGAATCGTATCTAGTTAGATGAGAATCGATTTTTCTTAGAAGAAAATTTATTCTACTCCAAAATGAAGCATATATTCAATTTTGGACAAGAATATGTTGTATTGGTGTCTCCATAATTGATTATCCTTCTACACCAACACGATTATGATCTTATTTAAATTTCTCAACGAAGCATGTCCGACAATTGAAATATTACCTCATAGATCTCAATTAATTTGTTTTAAAAAATAATTATTTTTACTCATTTTTCTTATATTATGTTTCATTTATGAAAAGTTAAAAGAAAAATAACTTTCTTCTATCCTGTTTCATGGTGAAATTTGTTAAAAATTATTGTTAACTATATAATATATGAATATTATTAAAACAAAAGGACAGAGCACTGATTAATAGGACCAAAACCAGCTAAGGCTAAAGGAAGCATAGAACATGTCAACTTAAGGCTAGCATTAGCCCACGCCTACCTGGAGCCCTACCCAACCTATGTCTCTTTCCATGGATTGGAGGGAAAAGAGAGATATAAGATAAAAGAAAAAAAAAAACTAGATTAACGGAAAAATTATGAGAAATAAAGAAAAAAAAAATTATGAATATTAATGAATGATGTGATAGGTTTAGTAAATTAAAAAATATATTTTAGTTGATAAAAATAAAAGATTATTACTTTATTTTTGGATATAAAATAGTTTAAAATAAAATATAAATAGTGTAGATTATGTTATAACGAAATGTGAATTATTATAAATTGATGAAGTTATAATGAAATAAAATAGAATTGGTGGAAATTAAATTGAAATAAATTGTGACAAATAGTTAAAAAATTATTATTATTTTATTATATTTATAACTTATTGTTATTAATATAATAATATTATTTATAATTATTATATTATTATTTATAATTAATAATAATAATTTATTATTTATGATTATATTATTATTATTTATAATTAATTATATATTTTTATTTATTTACTTCTATTATAAGTTATTATCTATGTGTCTTATTCTTACTTATTCTTATTTTTATCATTATTTGTCATCCTTTTTATTTACACTTCCTTTTCATTCTTCTTAATTCTTCCTTTTTTCTTCATTTTTTTCTGCAAAGGATTTTTTTTTTTTCTTCGTCCCCCACCGTTTTATAAAACACACGCTCAAATACAGAAATTGATGTAAATAGTAATATTGGTTCGTTTAACAAATAAAAGAAGATAATTGATTCTTTTAAAAAAATAGAAAGAAGATAATCGATTGATTATCTGATAGTTCAAAATCTTTTTTCACATGGTTGGTCATGATTTTTTTTTTCATAGAAAAATATTGTGAGAATAGAAGAATAATGAGTAACTTTATATTATTTGAGGTAACTTTCTCTCATTTTCTTCTCATTCCAGCAAGAGAGCTTTCGCAACATATCAAATACATATGTGGTAACATTTTATAATCTCACATTTGATAATTTATAATTGATATATTATAGCATTTATATTTAAGATAACATTCATAATCTCACACTTATAATTCATAGTTAATTATATATATATATATATATATATATATATATATATATTAATATATATGTATTAAACTCAGATTTCAACTACAAACTCATAAATATAAGTCAAATTCTTCTAATTTGTTATTCTATCTCTTTCTTCGTTGGTACTGAATCAGATGACATTCCTTCATCTGCTTCCGTATAACGAATTATACATACACAAACATAAACAAGTAGAGTGAGCTAACATGCAACAAATCATTTATAAAACATGCATAATTACTTTGATACACTCAACAAACATCATATAATAATTATGTCAGACACCCTCATATCACCATACAACAATCGCACCATAGATACTCATCCCATCATACCACAATCCCTAATAGACACTCATCCCACAATACCCAATAGACACTCATCTCACAATACCCAATAGACACTCATCCACAATACTCAATAAACATTCATTCCACAATACCAATAGACACTCATCCCACATACTCAATAGACACTCATTCCACAATACCCAATAGACACTCATTCGGATGATACGTTGATGAGCGGTCACGGAAGGTTATGCACTTGTGATGACTTCTACTACTTCTTCTCTGCAATACACTTCCAAAATACTCCCTATCATCCACAAGGTTAGTCCTCAACACTATGTCCAAACCCGGCACATAGACCAGGACCTCCTGCCCCTCTCACCACATAATTAATCCTTCTCTACTTCAGACTGAATGATTATTAGAGTATCAGGATAACCTCTAACAACAGGACCCTCAACATCAACATATACACAAATATCATATCATTACAAAATCTCTCCACGAGACTCGTACCATGCTCATTTCCTCAACTCATATTAACCATTACAATAC